ACAGGCCAAGTTCCTGGCAATGGCTACTCAGGGCGCTCAGGACATGGGGAGAGGGACGAGGGCCACACAGGGAACGAGTGAAACCAAGGGCACGAGATGCTGACCATCTTCAACACTGACAGCTGTTAGCAATGGCTGAGTCTGGGTGAGGAGAACTGGATACTGTCATTTGTCTAGTTTGACAGTTGTAGAAAATTTCTCAACTTAAAAATTAAAAATACAGATAATGCTAATGATAAGAGTGTGGGGTGAGCCTTTGTCCCGCTAAGTCCCCACCTCCCATGCCTTGAGCAACAGAGGTCTCCCTACCCCGGCAGCTGGGGCTGGAAACCCCTGCCCACCTCCGCACACCTGTGCTTGCTTCACCAAAGGGTAGGAAAATAAAACTCCTGCTCAGGGCAGAGAGTGGGCACAAGGGCCAGGGTGTGCTGTACTGAGCCAGGAATGGGGGAGGTCAGCCCCGCCCCCCACGCCACCCACTGAGGCAGCATGAGACACCCACAGGTGGCTAGACCTTAGCCATGTGGGCCCAAAGAGCCGTGACTTGAGAGAGTCTCACTCAAAAGTAGAAAGGTGAAACCGCCCCCAGGCTGTATAGAACCCTGGTCTTTCCCAAGGAAGACACGTGGAACAACGCCCCCAGGTGCGGAAGGTGAAGCAGGTTCCTCCTCCTCCCTCTCCTCCTCCTCCTCCCTGACACTTGTTTGACTGAGGAACACAGACTTGGAGTGGGAGAAAGGTCAGTGAGAAGCTAAGAAAGGTCCAGGAACATATCCCTGAAGGACCACCCGGACAGTTGTCCAGGCCGTTCACTGCACAAAAGGATCCAGCTGAAGGGTTGCAGACCAGTGGACACAGTTTACCAAGCCCCCTGGCCTACAGCAGGCCTCATCTGCCCGGAGGGGCTGTCTTTTCCTTATTTATATAAAAATATCCTTTTTCCCCCTTCTCCCAAGCAAGGCTGCCCCTCAGGGCCATCCCCATACCCAGGCACAGGGCAAGGTGTGGGGCCTTCCCCGGGGACTCAGGCCTGAGACTCAGAACAGGACCCAAGAGGAGACAGCAGTGGCCTGCAGGGGAACCACTGGCCACCAGCCAGGTGCCCACTCCAAGCTGAAGCTGGCCACTGGAGGACACTGCATTCCCCGTTTCACATGCCGAGGGGATCCAGGGCGCTGGGCTGGGCTCCAGACCTTCCAGAACGCTGGGCAGGAGGGTCTTTTTAAGTCAAACACTTGTCTCATCACCTAAAAATTGGATTCTGTTGGCAAAATAAAGGGGAGACCCCAGTTTTGTTTGGGGGGCGGATGACAGGACATCCTGGTTATGTCCAGGGAGGTGCAGCCATGGGGCCCTGGCCACTCTATCTGTGCTAAAAGTGAAAAGCTCCCTGCTCTACACTGACCAGGCCCTGACCAGCCCCCACCCCTGTACCCTGGGAATCCCAGGCAAGTTTCTGCAGAAGGGAGCAGTGGCTGGAAGGAGCAGGGACACCGAGGGGGCCAAACAGTGCACAGCACAATAGTGTCCTGGAGGAATCTGGGAGACAGGAAGGGAAGAGGGGCCCGGCCAGAAGGCCTTGTCTGCAAAGCCTGGGGACCCTGTCCCGGGGAGGATCCTCTCCAAATATTAACACTCTACCCCAACACAGTCAGACTCTACCCCCTACTCCCAGATGGACAGGAAATCCCGTTAGGCAGATGAATAAAAGCTTAATATGTATATAATTGGAATTCAGTGGACCCTTTCAAACAGTGCTGAGATATTATCACAGTAATTTGAGTCACTAGCAATTTAATATATTTATCTAGTTGGTGTTCTGGGGGAATATGTGTCTCTATTTCATTGGTAGTTCAGTGGTTATGCAGTCTGTCCTTCCTTCCTTCCTTCCTTCCTTCCTTCCTTCCTTCCTTCCTTCCTTCCTTCCTTCCTTCCTTCCTTCCTTCTTTCCTTCCTCCCTCCCTCCCTCCCTTCCTTCTCTTTGTTTCTTTTTTGAGATGGAGTCTTACTCTGTTGCCCAGCATGGAGTGCACCCCAGAGCTTGAGTGGGACACGGGGCTGGCAGCGCCTGCCAACGCCAACAGGCTCCTGCCCACCCCTTGGCATTTTCTTTTTCATTTCCTTGTCCAGCCCTGGCAAGTGAGATGAGCTAGAGACAGCCAAGTAGCCCCAAAGAGTGGGGCTGCTGCTTCACGTCCCCACAGTGTGGCTGCCTGAAAAGCTATTTTCACCCAAGTAGGCCCAGCCTCAGAAGCTCTTGAGGGCAGCACATTTTTCAGAAACTAAAATAACAGCTATCATCAGAGGCACCACTTTAGAGCGATTCATCCCTGCCCAACCCCAAGCTGTAGGGCCTGCAGCTCTGCCTGTCTCCTCCCCTGGCAAGGACACCATCCCTGGCCACGGCTCCCCCACGACCTCAGCCCTACAGAAACCTGGCCAAGGAAATGGAGAACCCCCAGGGGCATCAGCCTACTTCCCCGGCAGATAGGGTGGCCACATAAAATCAGGACGCCTAGTTAAATGTGAATTTCAGCTGAACAACAGATAGGTTTTTCAGGATACGTGCGTCCTATCATTGCACGGACACAATAAAAATTACTTATTGCGTACCAAAAATTCATATTTACCAGGCACCCTTCTGTTGTTTCTTGTGTTCCGTTTGTTCGTTTGTGCTCAATCTGGCAATCCTACCCTCAGATCCAGTCCTAGGCATACAGTTGGTGTTCAATTGATGTCTACATTCTTTGTTCTTGGTCAGTCATCCCAGATTTATTTATTTATTTATTTTAGTTTTATTTTTTTAAGACGGAGTCTTGCTCTGTCACCCAGGTTGGAGTGCAGTGGCATGATCTTGGCTCACTGCAACCTCCATCTCCCAGGTTCAAGCGATTCTCCTGCCTCAGCCTCCCGAGTAGCTGGGATTACAGGCATGCGCCACCATGCCCAGCTAATTTTTTTGTATTTTTAGTAGAGACAGGGTTTCACCATGTTGGCCAGGCTGGTCTCGAACTCCTGACCTCAAATGATCCACCCACTTCGGCCTCCCAAACTGCTGGATTACAGGTGTGAGCCACTGCACCTGGCCAGTCATCCCAGATTTAGATCAATGTTTCTCAAACATGTTTCTACATCAGAATCTCATTAGGGTCCATTAAAATACAGATTCCTGGGTCCCACCAAGATTCTATTTCAGAAGGCTAGAAGGCTGCCCAGGGATCTGCATTTCTAGCAGACTTCCCCAGGGGAGTCTATTGCACAAGAGATTCCAGAAGCAGCAGGCCTAAGCCTTGCTCCTGCCTTTCTAAAGTGACTTGCAAATAGGCACCAGCCCACAGAACACAATTTGCCCTCTGGGATCAAAAAAACTGCTATTCACTCAGAACATAGGAAGGGCAGTTTCTCTAGAAGCAAAATACACAAATATGCATCTTCAGACTGTAGACACTCCAGGGGAAGTTGAGGCTGAAGGAATGAGCCGGACCCCAAATGTTTTAAGCCGCCAGCATTCTGCTTGATATGGGAGGGGGCAGGGAGGCGCACGGTGTTACCTGGTACCCACCTACAGTTTTGCTTCCTGCAGCACAGAGCCCTTGGGAGCTGATGTCATCAGGGATTCAGAATAGGCCTGAATGGCCTCCTTATCCTTTGAGCCCTTTTTACTACTACTCCAAAATAAATAGCATTTCTCCTAGAAGATAACCAAGCTAATTTATAGTTGACGTTGAAGCCACATAAAAATGGTTTTACACGGTTCTTTGATTTGCAAAAGGCAAAGAGGAAACAGGAAAGCTACAGAAGTTTAGAGTCCAACAACCCTCAACAATTGCAGGTGGCTGAGATGTGGGGAGCTGCTGCTCTTAGACGGAAGTACAAGCGTCTTCGGGAAACACACCTGGGAGGTGGACGAGACAAGCTGAAAAGGGCTCGTCCACTTGAAAATTTAAACCAGCGAGGAAACAAAGTGGGGAGATGGGCCATGGAGACTGATGACCAGTATACTAGCTGGGGGGCTGTTGAAAATCAACCAGGAACAGACTGTTCTGTTAAAATACTTTTGATTTTTTTTTTTTAAAGAATGACTTGAGAAGAAAAAAGTATTGCTTTTTAAAATTTTTGAGACAGGATCTCACTGTGTTGTCCAGGCTGGAGTGCAATGGCGCAATCATGGCTCACTGCAGCCTCCAACTCCTGGGCTCAAGTGATCCTCCCACCTCAGCCTCCCAAGTATCTCAGATTACAGGCAAGAGCCACCACACCTGGCTCAAGAAGAAAAATTTCTCTAAAGAGAAATTAAAATATGTTGAGTTTACCCACATGTGATTTTTTTTTTTTTTAATCAGGACAAATTACATAAAAACTGATAAGGCCAGTCAGGCACAGTGGCTCACACCTGTAATCCCAGAACTTTGGGAGGCCGAGGCGGGCAGATCACAAGGTCAGGAGTTCAAGACCAGCCTGGCCAACATGGTAAAACCCTGCATCTATTAAATATACAAAAATTAGCCAGCCAGGGTGGCGGGCTTTTGTAATCCCAGCTACTCGGGAGGCTGAGGCTGAGGCTCCCGCTTAAACCCAGGAAGTGAAGGTTGCAGTGAGCCAAGATTGCACCACTGCACTCCAGCCTGGGCAACAGAGCGAGACTCCATCTCAAAAAAAAAAAAAAAAAAACTCAAAGAAACAAAAACAAACAAACAAAAATCTGGTAAGGCTCTGCTAAATCAGATAAATGGGATAGATTTCACTTATGTGGCCTCCAGTGAAACCTGCAGGGAGGGGAGCCACACTGCCGATCGTAGCATTCTTACTGGATTTGAGGGTGGGATGCTGATTTGGGGGCTATGGCAGGGAAGGGGACCCTAGCAGCCTAGACATTCTGTGCTTCCTGACCCTCCTTCCCTGCTCCCATTCTGATGGACAATTTGGAGAGAGACAGAAGGAGACAGAGGGTTGAGGCTGTCGCGGCCTCCTCTGGCGCAGCCCCTCAGCCAGTCCTCAGGGACCCCCTCACATGGCTGTGCGTCCTCGCCTGTGGACACCCACGGTGATGCTCTGCCACAGGGAGGTATTCATGGTCTGGGAGCGTGGGTTCTGATTCCTTCTCTCCTCTCTACGTAATTCAGTCTAATAACTGGAGGGAGTTCCCTTTTGCTCGCTGGAGTCACAGCCCTGCTGGGTCCTGGCTGCCCCGGGGCAGTAACAGAGAAGGGGACTCCCAAAAGGGCTGGTTGGACCCAATGATCATTGATCATCAGGAGCTCAAACGCTACAGCAGCAACAGGATGACAGCTGGTGTCCAGGCTACCACCTCACATTGTGGAAACCTTTTCCCCCTGAGGACAGGAATTTTGAAAGGAAGTCGGGTTTCAGGTCTGAAAGCCAAGGTGAAGAACCAAGAATGCTTTATTCTCACCCAGCAGGCAAGCAAGGAAGCAGTCAAGCGTTCCCTGAGAGAGGGGAAGAGGAAGAAGCATTCACCAGTGCTAAAGGAAGCAGGTACTGCAGAGGAGTCAGGACCAGCAGAGCAGCGGGGCGGCCCCAAGGCCCCCAGAAGGCCTCGGCCTGTGGCCCTAGGATGATGCAGGTGGGGGCCACCTCAGAGAGTGGCTTTCTGCTCCATGCATCCAAAAACAGCCTTTCCTGATGCCTGCCAGTGGGCAGCCTCCCCTCCCCTGCCATGGCAGCTGCTCGCCCATCTCCACTGCCCCTTGAGCTCTGTGATCACAGCTCTCCTGTCCTTCGTGTGACTGTAATAACTTGCCTAAAGGTCTGCCTTGCCCATCTCTGCTGCCGATCTCATGTTCTGGTCATTTCTGCATCCCCTGACCTGTGCAAAGGACCTTGCAGTGAATGCCATGAATGAATAAATAAATGACCCCGAAGCAAGGAGGTCTCCCCTCTTCTTGCTGCTTCCGGAGATCTGAAGCCCAGGGCTGGAGCTCTTCCCCCCATTTCCGTTCTCTCCTGATAGCAGCTGCCCCATCCTGTTCGAGCCACTGACTTCCTCACCTACTGGGGCCTCCCCGCTGGGCCCAGGCTTCCATCCCTCCCAGCCCAGGGCCCACTTGCCAGCCAGCAGCTGACCTAGTGATTCCCCTCTTTAAAAGCCTCCAATGGCTCTGTCACTCCCAGAGTCAGTTCCAGACTGCTCACTCTGCACCACAAGGCCCTGGGTGGCCTGCCCTGTCCACTCTCAGACACCACCCCCTACCTATGTCCCTGCCCTCTCTCCCCTCCAGCCACCCTGGCCCTGCCTGACCCTCCGATGTGCCCTGCCTGTCCCTGCCGCAGGGCCTTTACAGGGGCCGCTCCAGGCAGCATTCCTCCTGTGGCTGTGTGCTGAACGCCTCCCTGGCCTCCACTTCAAAGCTCACTATCTACTTCTTCAGAGACGCCTTTCTGGACCTCCATCTGTCCTTGTCCCCACTTGCCCCAGACATGCACTGTCCAGTCTGGGAGCTGCATTTGGCTGGTGAGCCCTTGAAACGGAGCCAGTCCAAATTGAGACCTGCTGCACATGTACCATACACACAGGATTTCAAAGACTTCATGCAAAAAAACTGCAAAAATATTGACATCCTTTATACTGATTACATGTTGAAGTGATAATATTTTGCATATATTTGGGTTAAATAAAATTAAAATTAATTCCACCTGTTCCCTTGGACTGTTAAATGGCTATTAGAAAATTTAATCTGAAAACTTCACACGTGGCTCACACTGTATTTCTATTTGACACCATGGCTCTAGCCCCTCACATTTCCTATCATGGGTGTAATTATCTTTTTTGCTGATTTATTGGTTTTCATCTGTCTCCCTGGCTGGAATGCCAGCCCTCCTTAATCCCCCTGAGCAGGCTCCTCAGCTATCTCCTCCACTGCTGTGCGTCCCCTTGCCCCTAACAGAACCTGGCTTCCTGGGTGCTGACTTGATGAATGAACGATGCGAATACCAGGTCTCATTACTCAAAGCCCACCTGCACCCCCTCCAAGGGAGGGTCCCAGGCCTTCCAGAACAGGCAGAGTAGTGGCAACGCGGCATGCAAAAGACGCAAGCCTGCAGCGCAGCCCCCAGCGGTGACCGCTCCCACTCCAGCACAGAAGCAGGACTGCTGCTGGAGGTGGGCTCCAGGCTGCGGTTGGCCAGAGGGTCCGATCTGAGGCCCCCTTCCCCCAGCAGGCAAGCGAATAGCTGTCAGCCCGGGCCACACTCTGGCCAGCACCTACTTTGCTCCGGATTTGGCAGATGACAGGGACCAGCAGCAGGACGCAGCCCAGCGCCAGGAGGACGTACTGGGCATAGTGCATCACCTTGGGCATCAACACCAGCTGGGTGTAGAATGTGTGAAGCGTCTCCCCCTCCATGGCCCCGCTCTGAGGAGGCAGAATGACAAACACATGAGCTGGAGCCACAGGCTGTGGGCTACAGCGCAGATGCCACCCAACACCCTCCTCTGTGCCCGCCTCAGCCTTTCCCCATCTCAAGCTCCCTAGCTAAAGCATGTGTCGGAGCCTGCCAGGGACCGCCTCCCTCCAAGACACAAGGTGAGACTACAATTCCCAGAATCCCTTGCAGTTGGGCAGGGCCATTTGATCGTGTTCTGACCAATGGGAGGTGGGCCTGGCCTCACGTGACTCCCCATCGCTTTGCCTGCCACTGAAAGGAGGATCTACAGGAGGGCGGGGCCCCCGGGGACCTGGAACCCTAAATTACTGGAGGGAGCAGAGCTCTGCTTCCCCATCAACCCACTTCAGACTGGGCTGTGAGCAGGAAGTGAACTTGACATTCGGAGGCTTGTTTGTCCTGGCCATTAGCTAGCCCTGATTTAAAACGAGGTAGGCAAGAAATAATAAATAAAATTTAAAAAAAGATAAAATAAAAAAATAAAATAAAATAGGCCAGAATGAATTCTAAAAAGATGCGAGAGAAGTATGTTTAAGTAAAAAGCTGACACCTTGGAAACCAACTTCCCCACTTTCAGGAGAAGAGGTTATATGCCTCAACAAAATCATTTTACACCCAGGGCCAGGGACTTGACCGCTTCATGCAGCTTCTGTCTTCCCCTTCTCAAGGGATCCCTTTCAACTTGGTGGGATAACTGACATAGGGTGCTTAGACAGTGTGAAATTTCTGATACACTGGTCCATGTCACAGTCCGGTTACCCTGGCCCAGCCCTCTCCCTTTCTACAAGCCGCTCCCCACCCCCTGCCTCAAATGCCCACATTGGCTCTTAACAAAAGCCCCTGACACTGTGCCCAACGCACCCTTACCTCTGCAAACCAAAGCAGCGGCAGGACCACCGGCTCAATCTTCCCAGTTTGTCTGGAAATAAGCAAGGCATAGCTGTGTGAAACAAAGTCTTACACCCAAACCTTGATATAATTCTGCTTGAATACAACATCTAAACGGGTTTAGTATAATTTTGCACACACTAAACCCTCACCACCAAATATAAACAATGAGCTGAAACACTTTAGGAGCCATGTGACAAAACTGTCCCCAGGCTGAAGGTCTCAGTCTACAGCCCTCAATACTACTTGTAAATAAGACTTTAATTCTTTTTATTTTTTATTTTATTATACTTTATGTTCTAGGGTACATGTGCACAATGTGCAGGTTTGTTACATATGTATACATGTGCTATGTTGGTGTGCTGCCCATCTTTAATTCTTTAAAAGGCATTTTTTTGGTTGTTTTTTGTTTTGTTTTGTTTTCTTTAGTTGACAAGATGAGATGTTTTCCCAAAGGGCTGTTTGTCATCACACAGCTTTGAACCTGTGATCATAAGTTCTGGGGCCAGGAGGGACTTGATTCTGCAGTCTCAGTCATCCCTCCTTATCCATGGTTTTGATTTCTGCCATTTCTTACCCTCAGTACAGTACAATAAGATATTTTGAGAGAGAGACCACATTCACATAACTTTTATTATAGTATTTGTTATAATTACTCTATTCTTAGTTATTGTTAAGTGCGGCTATACCTAATTTATAAATTAACTTTATCATAGATGTGTGTGTATAGGAAGAAGCAGAGTATATGCTATACAGGGTTCAGTACTATCCCCAGCTTCAGGCATCCACTGGGGGTCTTGGAATATACCCCCGGGGATGAGGGGGCCACGGTACTTGACTGGTGCAGGCTTAGGGAACCAGTGTTTTGATGTGCTGCTAGAAGGAATCTCCCCTGGCAAAGAGCTTGATAATTTGACAATAATCTTTTTATATTAAAAACTCACATCTCCTGCAGGGCAAAGCCCACCAGTGACCCAGCCAAAATCCATTGGTCCCTTTTAGAAACAGAACCCAAATTTTACTCAGGATGGCAATGCACCCAGTGAAACACTCCACCTCAGCCTCTCTTGTGGCAAGTGAGGCTCTGTAACCAAGTTCTGGTTAATGAGATGTTTGCAGAAGCGTTATGTGGGATGGCCGAGAAGGCTGCTTAAAAAGAAGCTTTCACAGCTGGGACGTGAACCTTTTTTCCCTCCTCCCTTTCAGATGCCTGGAACGCAGATGCAAGGGCTGGAACTCTGCAGCCAGTGGGACCAGAGGTGACCTTGTGGAAGCCATGTGTTGGGAAAATGGAACAGAAAGATGAGTGGAACTTGAACCATGAATGTCTCTTGCCATACTCTGACTGTCTGCCTCCAGACATCCTCTAAAAGAAATTTTTTAAATAACAATATACCTTTGTCCCATTTGGGCAACAACTGTTGAGTTTTCTGATCTATACTGCCAAACCTAATTCCACCAATATACCTCACGACCCAGCAATTACGCTCTTCAGAAACTGCCCTAGAGATGCTCACACATGCACACAGAGGCACAAAGATGTTCAGTGTTGCTTGGACTAGCAAAGACAAACAAACAGACAAATGACAACCTGTATCTTCTCTATGGTGACATATATATGAATGTAAAGAAGTAGGAAAAGGCCTGGAAGGAAGCACAGCAAATTAATGATGGTGGGTACGGCTGGGGATGGCGGGGAGTCACAGGAAACTCTCTTTATTCTTCCCCTCAAGAAGATATGTTCATATTACCTGTGACATTAAAACTTACACGCCAAGTTAAAAAGATAATAAAATCCGAAGGGAAAATAAAAGTTAACTCGATGCTGGAGAAACATGACAGGCATGACCTCGTCCAGGCTATCAAGGTCAACATCAACAGTGATACAGTATGTTGACGGAATGTACCCTAGATGCTCTGAAACTGGAACTTTCTCTCTGTGGTCTTCCTCCTCCCAAAACCCATCACCCCAGTCTAATCATGAGAAAAGCACCAGACCAATCCCAGGAGAGGGGCATCCTACAAAATACCTGACCAGTGCTTCTCAAAAGTGTCACTGTCATCAAAACGAAGGAGAAATGAGAGACTGTCACAGCCAAGAGCTGCCTAAGGAGACCAGAAGACCAATGTGACACCTGGGATATGGTGACCTGCCACGACAAAGGGGGACCATGCAGATGTGACTACATCAAGGCTCTGAGATGGGGAGAGTGTCCTGGAATATCTAGGCGGGTCCATGCAGATATGGGTACATCAAGGTTCTGAGATGGGGAGACTGTCCTGATATCTAGTTAGGTCCCAGGGAATCACAAAAGTCCTTAAAGAGAAAAGTGGGAAGTCCTCGCCAGAGCAATCAGGCAAGAGAAAGAAAAAAGAAAAAACAAAAACAAATTGTAAAACACCTAAAAAAAGAAAAAAAAAATTTTTTTTCTTTTTTTTTGAGAAGGAGTCTGGCTCTGTCACCCAGGCTGGAGTACAGTGGCGCGATCTCGGCTCACTGCAAGCTCCACCTCCCGGGTTCATGCCATTCTCCTGCCTCCGCCTCCTGAGTAGCTGCGACTACAGGCGCCCGCCACCACGCCCGGCTAATTTTTTTGTATTTTTAGTAGAGACGGGGTTTCACCGTGTTAGCCAAGATGGTCTCGATCTCCTGACCTTGTGATCCACCCGCCTCAGCCTCCCAAAGTGCTGGGATTACAGGCGTGAGCCCCTGCGCCCGGCCAGAAAAATTAATTTTTAAAAAGAGGGTCTGGGGCGTGGTGGCTCGCGCCTGTAATCCCAGCACTTTGGGAGGCCGAGGCAGGCGGATCACAAGGTCAGGAAGTCAAAGCCATCCTGGCCAACATGGTGAAACCTCTCATCTCTACTAAAAATATAAAAATTATCCAGGCATGGTGGCACATGCCTGTAATCCCAGCTACTCAGGAGGCTGAGGCAGGAGACTCGCTTGAACCAGGGAGGCGGAGGTTGCAGTCGGAGGGGAGATCGCACCACTGCACTCCAGCCTGGCGACAGAGTGAGACTCCATCTCAAAAAAAAAAAAAAAAAAAAAGGCTCAAATCCCCCAATCACAATTATTGGAGGTCTCTCGGGCCACTTAAATAGGGTATTGCACAGTGAAATGGGCTCACACTATCACCCTACAGAGGACGAAACACAATGGAAAGACAACAGATGGTACCATTCACTTTGGCTGCTTTTCTCTGAAAGACTTTGTAAGAACCAGTGGGAACTGTATGCAAGTAACATGCAACCCCACTGCCTTTACCTAGTGAGCAAGGAGCACAGAAGCTCCCCCGACAGGTCACGAGACAGCTCCGCTTCCGGCAGCTGTGTCTCTAGACTTTTCCCACGCCATCCCTCGTGGCCCTCAATATCTGCTGTTGAGACCACTTTCCTGGAGTGCCTTGTTCCCAGTCTGCAGGGAGGTCAGCAGCTGTGCGGCCCAGAGAGGTTGGGTGAGTCCCCAGAGAGGTTGGGTGAGTGGCCCACAGCAACCGGTCCACAGGTCACTGGCAGGCACAATCCAGCTGCCCGCGTGAACTGTTTGTCAAGAATGTGAATTAGGCCCGGTGCGGTGGCTCATGCTTGTAATCCCAGCACTCTGGGAGGCGAATCATCTGAGGTCACAAGTTCAAGAACAGCCTGGCCAACATGGTGAAATCCTGTCTCCACTAAAAATACAAAAATTAGCTGGGTGTAGTGGTGAGTGCCTGTAACCCCAGCAACTTGAGAGGCTGAGGCAGGAGAATCGCTGGAACCTGGGAGGCAGAGGTTGCACTCTAGTCTGGGCAACACAGCAAGACTTTGTCTCAAAAAAAAAAAAAAAAGAATGTGAATTACCTCCCAAGAAGTAAAAATTGACAGAGCTCCTGTTAAAATTCAGATTTGGAGGTCCTTTTGAAAAATGCAGAGGATGTGGCCACAATGAGCCCACATTTCCATGGGGCCACAGTCAGCTGGTGCTGGGAAGGGGCTGTATCCTCGGCCCCAGGTCTCCTCTTCTATCTGGGTCACCCACTTGGCCCCAGTTGCATCCCAGTTAGCAGCCCAGGTGCCACGCGGTGGAACCAGAGGGAAGACTTAGGCTGCAATCGCCTCTTCCATGCCTGGTGCTGTCTCCCCACCCACAAATCCATCAAGAACAAATTCCCTAAGTGGCCTCAAAATATAAAAATCAAATGCAAGGGGGGCAGTGAAGGAAGCGAGCTGACAGTTATTACTCGCTGCCGTGCTCTGACAAAGTGTTATTCTTTCCAGCCGAGAGGCATTTGACAAAGCTGAATAGATGCTTACATTCCTGCAACCCAGGGATTTTTCTAAGAGAATTTTTTTTAACGAAACTATTTCAGATATGCTAAGAAGTACAGACACTGACATAGCAACAAATCAGTGTAATCCCTCACCAAGTCCTAGCAACGTGTAATGCTACAGCAAGTGCTGGTGCGCGTGGGGAGGAACTGGAACCCTGCTGCGCTGCTGCTAAGAATGGGGACAGGGTAGAGGCTGTGCAAAAGTCTGACAGTTCCTCAAACAGTTAAACAAAGAGCTAACATAGGACCCAGCGATTCCACCCCTCGGTACTACCTAAGGAAAATGAGAACAGATGTCCACACTGGGACTGACACAGGAACATTTACAGCTACATTACGCATAATGGCCAAGGCGTGGAAACAACTCAGACATCCATCAACCGATAAATAAATGTGGTCTATCCAGACAATGGGATATTATCCAGCCATAAAATATACTGATCCATGCTACGACATGGATGAACCTTGAAAACATGATGCTAAATGAAAGAAGCCAGTCGCAAAAGACCAAAGACCACATAGTATGTGATTCCATTTATATGAAATGCCCAGAATAGGCGAGTCCACAGAGACAGGAAGAGGAAGAGCGGTTGCCTGGGGCTGAGCGGACAGGGAAGTAAGTGTTAAGGAGTGCGGGGTTTCTTTGGGGGGTGATGAAAATGTTCCAAAATTGATTGTGGTGATAGATGCACAATTCTGTGAATACACTACAAGACACTGAATTCTGCATTTTATTTGAGGGGGGGATTGTTGTTTTTTATTTTTTTATTTTGAATTGTGCATTTTAAAGGGGTGAGTTTTATGGTATATGAATTGTATTTCCATAAAGCTGTTTTATTTTAAAAATCAAAAAGAGGAAATCAGTGGTCGAAAAATTCTTATAAAATGAATAGTGAAACTAAAGAATGCTGTTTGGTAAGTTTCCATTTTCAAACATTTGGTTTTGCCAGGCTTTAATTTTTGTCACTCTGTCATGTAGGAAACAGCTTGTATTGAAGCTCTGGCTAATTGGCAGGGAGGGGGTGAATGTTAAGAAAGAAAAGTGGAGGCCGGGCGCGGTGGCTCATGCCTGTAATCCCAGCACTTTGGGAGGCCCAGGTGGGCGGATCACTTGAGGCCAGGAGTTTGAGACCAGCCTGATCAACATGGTGAAACCTCGTCTCTACTAAAAATACAAAATTAGCCAGGCGTGGTGGTGCATGCCTGTAATCCCAGCTACTCAGGAGGCTGAGTTAGGAGAATCGCTTGAACCTGGGAGGCGGAGGTTGTGGTGAGCCAATATCCCACCCTTGCACTCCAGCCTGGGCAACAAGAGCGAGACTCCATCTAAAAAGAAAAAAAACAAAAACAAAAAAGGGAAAGAAAAGTGGCCTTCTGGGGAAGGAATATCAGGATGCAGGTCAGGACTTGGCTCAAAACCAAGACCCCTCAGGGAGAAGATCAGCAGGGAGTGGATTCATCCTCAATAGGACCCTCTCCCCTCCCCATGCCTGGTTCCTGGGGTATGTCACTGGAGTCTGGGACCACTGGAGCACTGAGCCCCTCATCTCTCAATGAGCAATGCAGCCCCAGCTCCCAGTCCGCACTCACCCAATGCCTGCGATAGATTTCATGTAGAGGCTCAGCTGCAGTTTCACAGAGCAGTTCATGGGGATTCCTGTGACCTGCGGCAACAAATACAGTGAGGAGACTGGCCACCCCCAGCTCCAGGGACACCACCAAGCCCTCCTCTCCCTGGTCTCAGTCAAGAAGGTGGGCGTCCCAGCTAACTGCCCAGTGGAGCTTGCTTGTATCTGACCTGAAACAAGCCACAGGCTGGGGGAGGGTCCATGGTTCTAGAAATGCTGGGCAGGTGCATTGGGATCTCCTCTCCTGGTTCTAACCCCTTATAGGGAAACAAGTGCTTCCCACACGGTTATGTTACAGCCTCAAGAGGTCCCTTCTATAAAGCAAGCATGTCCCAGGGTGGAAAAAACCTAATCACTTTCACCTGTCCTCCTAAGATGGTGTTTCCCCAAGTGCAGAATGGCAATTTGTCGATGCTCCCTCTCAACCTCCACATTCAATAAAACGGACAAGAATCCCTTCTCAATTCACTCCCAACTCCTCAGGATCATTTTCAAGAGTAGTCTCAGCCAGGTGTTTGCATGGTCTTTAATGCCCCTCTAATACACCTACACAAAATCTCCACTTTTAACACTGGTGCAGAGAGTTGGCCCCAGGTTCACCCCTGCTGGCAGACAACAATATTTTACCTAGAGCCTAATATTTTTTTCCTTGTTCATTTTTATGGTTGTCTTCTTTCTTTGGAGAATTTTGTAATTTCCTATTTGAGGTAGTAATAAAAACCTTCCCTTGTGCAGAAATTTATTTTTATTTTTGTTTGTTTTTGAGACAGAGTCTCAGTCATCTAGGCTGGAGTGCAGGCAACCTCTGCCTCCTGAGTTCAAGCCATTGCCCTGCCTCAGTCTCCCCAGTAGCTGGGACTACAGGTGTGCGCCATCACATTCGGCTAATTTTTGTATTTTTAGTAAAGACAGGTTTCACCATGTTGACCAGGCTGGTCTCAAACTCCTGGCTGCAAGCGATCTGCCCACCTTGGCCGCCCAAGGCGGGATTATAGGCGTGAGCCACCGCGCCCAGCCTATTTATCATTATTATTATTGTAGAGACAGAGTTTTACTAGGTTGCCCAGGCTGGTCTCAAACTAGCCTTAAGTGATCTTCCTGCCTCAGCCTCCCACAGCACTGGAATTACAGCCATGAGCCACTACACTCAGTTCTTTTTTTATGAGACTTTTTTTTAAGTAAATAACAGAAGTGACACACATATGTCATCAAAAACAACAGGAAGGTGGTTCCAGAATGAAGTCAGGAAATGATAGTGGAAATAAAACTAGATTTGAGGTCAGAGAACTGTATTTGGTTCTTCTTTACTGAGAGTTGCTTCCTCATCTGTAAAACAGAGGGAACTCTCCCCACCTGACAGAATATTTGCAAGGGCAAAAGTAAGGTATGCAAGATAGCCACACTCGGGGCCATAAATGCCTGGGTTATTATCACATACACTGTAAGGAAAGGATGTTTTCTTCATTATGGCCCAGGATGCTGAGGCCCTTCCAGGCCCCTGTGGTAAAAAAGAGCTCATCAAAGACCTCACTTATGCTCACAACTGGGGAGCACTTGCCCTTGAGAGCCTGGTGGGATGGGCGTGAGTTCACCCATGAGTAGAACAGAGTTCACATCGCAGGCCTGAAGCTGCTCTCCTTAGGAATTCTGCTGGCATCTGGGAGCCCAGATTTCAGGGGGGTTCCCAACCATCCCCTAACTGATGAGAGTAGTTCACTGGGCCGAAATTATCTGTACAAACAGTATGGTTCTTGCTCAGCACCTGCTTTCCTTCCCAGAGTCTAGAATTTTGGTACCTGCCAGGCAGAGGTGCCCATGTGACTGGCCCCTAGCAAAACACTGTGGGCACTGAATTTCTAACGAGCTTCCCTGCTAGACAACATCTCCTACATGTTGTCATAACTCATTGCTGAGGACATTAAGTGCATCCTGTAGGACTCTCTTGGAAGAGGACTCTGGAAGCCCCAGCCTGACCTCCCCCGACTTCACCCAAGGTGCTTTTTCCCTTTGCTAATTTTGCTTTGAATTCTGTCGTTATAATAAGTCTCAGCTGTCATACCACCATAGCGGCGTCCTGTTGCGTCCCCTGTCCCCATGCCCTCCCCCAGTTTCAGGAGCAGAAAAGTGGCCACACGGAAGCAGCTTCCAACACGCATTTGGTTTTCAAGGCTAATGGCCAACAGGCAGCAAGCTGATCTCATGATCCCCTCCCCAACGTGCCCAGCTCAAAAAACAAAGAAATAAAGGCCACTTCCTCTCCCTTCGACCTCAAGCTGATCTGGAGGTAGAATTGGACGCAGCAGCTAAAGTGGCTGCGGCAAAACAGCTCTGTGCCTCTCTGGGCTCCCAAACTTAACCCCCTCTTTCTTGATGTGAGGGGGAGAAAAGAAAATCCCTGCCCTAAAAGGACAGTGATCAGTGAGAGCACACAGGAGACGGTGTGCATGGCGGAATTCTCCGGAAGCCAGCAGAGCAAGAGAGGCCGGAGAAGAAATTAACTAAAAGACGGAAGGCAGAGACCAGGCCTGCGGCCGGGGCCGAGAGGGTCTAGTCAGTGGCTAAGGAGGCCTGGGAGGACAAAGGAAAATGGTGCAGAACAGCGTCTGCCGCAGAGCTTCGGGAAGGGCCTGAGATGCGCAGCACTGTGGCAAACGCATGGAGCTTCCTCAGACAACGAAAACCAGAACTACCATCGGATCAGTGATCCACTGCCGGGCATCTGCCCAGAGGAAATGAAATCAGTGTGTCAAAGAGACAGGGGCACTCCCATGTACACTGCAGCCAAGATACAGAATCAAGCGAAGTGTCTCAGTAAATGAATGGGCACCACAAACATGGTGCACACACAGTGGGATACTGTTCAGCGTTTAAAAAGAGGGAAATCTGGCCGGGTGTGGTGGCTCACACCTGTAATCCCAGCACTGTGGGAGGCCGAGGTAGGCGGATCACTTGAGGCCAGGAGTTCGAGACCAGCTTGGCCAAGATGGTGAAATCCCATCTTTACTAAAAATACAAAAATTAGCTAGGCATGGTGGTGTGTGCCTTTAATCCCAGCTACTCTGCAGGCTGAGGCAGGAGACTCACTTGAACCCAGGAGGCGGAGGTTGCAGAGAGCCAAGATCATGCCACTGCACTCCAGCCTGGGTGACAGAGCAAGACTCTGACTCAAAAAAATAAATAAATACATAAAAACAGGGAAATCCTGTCATTTGTGACAACATGATGAACTTGGGGGACACTGTGCTAAGTAAAATAGGCCAGGCACAGAAAGGCAAATACTGCATGACCTCACTTGTATGTGGAATCTTAAAAAAGTTGAATTCAGGCCAAGCGCAGTGGCTCACGCCTATATTCCCAGCAAACTGGGAGTCCGAGGCGGGTGGATCACCTGAGGTCACGAGTTCAAGACCAGCCTGGCCAATGTGGCAAAACCCTGTCTCTACTAAAAATACAAAAATTAGCCAGGTGTGGTGGTGTGTGCCTGTAATCCCAGCTACTCAAGAGGCTGAGGCAAGAGAATTGCTTGAACCCAGAAGGCGGAGGTTGCAGCGAGCCGAGATTGTGCCACTGCACTCCAGCCTGGGTAACCAGAGTGAAACTCCATCTCAAAAAAAAAAAAAGTTGAATTCATGGAAGCAGAGGGTAGAATACTGGCTAGCAGGGGCTGGGAAGGCAGGGAGGGGGAAGTCAGTCAAAGGATACAAAATTTCAGTTAGACAGGAGGAATAACTTTAGGAGATCTGCTGGACAATACAGCAACAGTCAGTGTATTGTATTATACAATACAACACAGTGACTATAGTGAATAGCAATGTATTGTATACTTGAAAGTTGCTGACCGTAGATTTTAAATGTTCTCACCACTAATACATAATCAGTATGTGAGGTAATACATATGTTAATTGGCTTGATTTAGGCATTCCACAAGGTATATGCATATATCATAACATCATGTTGTACACCTCAAAAATAGACAGCTTTTCTTTTTCAAGTTAGAAAACTAATTTTGGCTGGGCATGGTGGCTCATGCCTGTAATCCCAGTACTTTGGGTGGCCGAGACAGGAGGATTGCTTGAGCCCAAGAGTTCAAGACCAGACTGGGCAACATGGCGAAACTGCATCTCCACAAAAAATACAAAAATTAGCCAGGCATGGTGGCACATGTCTGTAGTCTGGGCTACTAGGGAGGCTGAGGTGGGAGGATCACCTGAACCCAGGGAGGTCGAGGCTGCAGTGAGCCATGATCATGCCACTACACTCCAGCCTGGGCAACAGAGTGAGACCCTGTCTCAAAAATAATAATAATAATTTTGTTTTTTTGTTTGTTTGTTTTTTTGTTTTTTTTTTTTTTGAGACGGAGTCTCGCTCTGTCACCCAGGCTGGAGTGCAGTGGCCGGATCTCAGCTCACTGCAAGCTCCGCCTCCCGGGTTTACGCCATTCTCCTGCCTCAGCCTCCCGAGTAGCTGGGACTACAGGCGCCCGCCACCTCACCCAGCTAGTTTTTTTTTTGTATTTTTTAGTAGAGATGGGGTTTCACCGTGCTAGCCAGGATGGTCTCGATCTCCTGACCTCGTGATCCGCCCGTCTCGGCCTCCCAAAGTGCTGGGATTACAGGCTTGAGCCACCGCGCCCGGCCAATAATAATTTTGTTAAAGGCCCATGGGAGAGACCACAAGTGCCCACTCAGGAAACAGAAAACCACAGATTTCTGAATCAATGGTAGCAGCCACCAAGCCCAACTGGGCATATTTTACAGAGAACAGAGGCGCCAAGAGAAGAGGCTACAGGCTGAAGGCATGTCCTTGGGAGGCCCACATGTCCAGCTCTCTGCTTGTAGACAGAACTTCACACGGGACAAATTCTCTGTGTGATTTATCTGCAAGATATTCCAGGCTTTTCTTGGTACCTGATCTTTATGGTATCTTGACACATCCAGAGGGCTGCCTCCAGCTCACATGTAGGAGACACCCCAGCTGATAAGTTCTAATTAATTTACTGTCTTAGGGCCCATTTATAGAACCCGGTACAGGGATCATAAAACCCGTGAACTATGGGGTCGGGGTGAAGGAAGGAACTTCGGTGGCTCGAGATTCTAGAAGCCAGGCTTCCACCACCCCAGCCCACAGCAGCTCTGTGCTTGGGAAGAGAGGAGGCAGCCAGGTGTGCTCCGACCAGGAATCGCCCACCCCCCACAGAGGATGGCAGGGGCTCACCGGGTGGATGTCCAGGAACAAGGAGTGTGCCTCCTGGTTAGGGTGCAGGCCAGTCACCGCTTCTGCCAGGACCGGGTCCGCGTTGAGGAAGTGAGGATGGGAGAGAAACAAGGGGGCACCTAGAAGACAGAGGGGTGGGGAGGGGACATCAGACAAGGACAGTGCATTGGCAGGTCCTGCCAGGCCGTAGGTCTGCACAGAGCTGCGGTCTGCAGAGCACCCCCGTGGCAATGACAAGATAACCAGACAGAGAGGATCCCTTCCTCCATTCTGTAAAAAGCCCCAGGCCCTACCATGAGGGACAAGCTCTGTGCCAGAGAAGGGGTGAGGCAGGAGCCGCTGATTCTGACAGGAGAGACCAAAAGAAGGAAGAGGCTCTTAACAGGAGCCAAGTGAAGGAGGCCCAGGAAGCACATTGCAGATGGAAGGGAAGGCGGAAGCAAGTGCGGGGAGGGGGAAATGCATGGTGCACGAGGGTGCTAAGGAGGCAGGGATGGACAAGGCAATGCCAGATTTGAACTTGGGTGTAGGGAGGGGAGCCTCGAGCACAAGTCAAGGAACCCACACTGGCCCTTGCAGGCCACGCAGCAACAATCAGAGCTCAGGTGGTCAGGTCTCCCTGCGTCCACAGGAGTGTGTCCTGTAGACACACCTGCTACGGATATGAGCTCAACCTCACCACTGACCAACCAAACCAGGCAAACACTAGCTCACCCTCCGGACAATGGACAACAGGCCTGAAGGACAAGTTAACAAGGAACAGCGAGCGGGCATCTCTCAAAAGCTCACAAGGGCCAGGCGCCATGGCTTATGCCTGTAATTCCAACGCTTTGGGAGGCCTCAGCAGGCAGATCACTTGCACCCAGGAATTGGAGACCAGCCTGGGCAATATGGCAAGACCCCATCTCTACAAAAAAAAAACACAAAAATTAGCTGGGCATGGTGGCACATGCATGTAGTCCCAGCTACTCAGGAGGCTGAGGCAGGAGAATCGCTTCAGCCTCAGAGGCTGAGGCTGCAGTGAGCCATGACCGTGCCACTGCACTCCAGCCTGGGCAGCAGAGCAAGATCCTGTCTCAAAAGAAAAAAAAAAATTTTTTTTAAAAGCTCACGAGGATCCAGATGGTGCTAATCTACTGACAGAGCCGACAGGTGGTGACCAGGGGCTGGGGAGGGGGCGGGGAGTAACTTCTGATGAGTCTGGGTCTCCTTTTGGGGTGATAGAAATGTTCTGGAACGAGATACAGGTGATGGCTGCACAACCTTGTGACCCTGCTAAATGCCACTGAATCATTCACTTTAAAATGGTTAATTTTATGTTACAAGAATTTTGCCTCAATAAGAAAGGAAAACAAAACAAAACAAAAAACCCGAATCAGAGGCCAGGCATGGTGGCTCACGCCTGTAATCCCGGCACTTTGGGAGGCTGAGGTGGGTGGATCACCTGAGGTCAGAAGTTCAAGACCAGCCTGGTCAACATGGTGAAACCCCATCTCTACTAAATATACAAAAATTAACCAGGCGTGGTGGTGGGTGCCTGAAATCTCAGCTACTTGGGAGGCTGAGGCAGGAGAATCGCTTGAACGCAGGAGGCAGAGGCTGCAGTGAGCCGAGATCGCGCCTTGCGCACCAGCCTGGGCAACAAGAGCGAAACTTCATTCCAAAAAAAAGACCAGGCGCAGTGGCTCATGTCTGTAATCCCAACACTTTGGGAGGCTGAGGCGGGCCGATCATGAGGTCAGGAGTTTGAGACCAGCCTGGCCAACATGGTGAAACCCCATCTCTACTAGCTCTGCTTTTCTTAGCAAAGCCAGGCACTGGTTTGAAATAAAAGCTGGGATTATCGATGTCGGGCTTCCTCTTTCTCAGTCCTTGTGCATCCCTGCCCTTCAGGTTTCTCAAGCATCATTCATCCCAGTACCTTTTCAATTTCATCACATCTGAATGCCCCCTGCACTGTTATATAATGTGCTGCTCTGAAACAACTGCCAATGCCTTCCTTAAATCTCTGTATTTTAAAGGGAAGCTTTACAGCTGTGCAAACACTTGCCGCAATTAGAAAGTACATATTTGGGCCAGGCACTGTGGCTCACACCTATAATCCCAGCACTTTGGGAGGCCAAGGCAGGCAGATCATTTGAGGTCAGAAGTTCAAGACCAGCCTGGGCAACATGGTGAGACCCCTGTCTCTACTAAAAATACAAAAATTAGCCGAGCATGGTATGGGCCTATAATACCAGCTACTCGGGAGGCTGAGGCAGGAGAATTGCTTGAACCCGGGAGGCAGGGGTTGTGGAGGCTGCAGGGAGCTGAGATCGCATCACTGCACTCCAGCCTGGACGATAGTTTCCAGAGGATGCAGTAAGCCAAGACTGCACCAATGCAATCCAGCCTCAGCGACAGAGCAAGACTGTGTCTCAAAAAAAAAAAAAAAAAGGACATATTTGAATAAACACTGTGAAAAATATTGATGTTGTAAGTTCTAACTAGAACCTGTTACTGCACGAGGCTTTAACTGGGAGCCCTGCTCTTTTTCTGTTAAAAGAAAAAATAAAAAAGGTTGATGAGTGTAGAAGGCTCTTCAAGTCCTCAGCATCAACAGAGACCTTCTCCTGCACGTGATGGCAAGGAGGAAAAGAGGATGGACCCAGAAGCTCTCTCTCACCTCCTTGGACCTTCTGAAGCCATCCCGAGCACCCGCAGGGACAGTGTCTTCCACAATTTGGAGCCGGACTCTGGAGGAATCTCAAGCAAGCCCTGGCCTACCCGCAGCCCCAGGTGGAGACTGAGGTGGGATGAGGCAACTTGTCAGCCCCCACCCTTACTTCAGAGGCTGAGCCTGCATGGACCCACGCACGTGTTTCTTCCAATTTTATTACCAAACACACCGAGAGAGATCTTCCCAGCAATAAGTGGTAATTAATTTATAGCTTTATGGCATACCTAGCCAGACATAATTGCCCAGGATTGCCACGGATGATAATTAATTGGCTCTATGAGGCAAGTCGGACGCCCTCACGCAACAGGGAGGTTTGAGATGAGGGAGTTGTCTGAGTTCAACAGATTTCAAGGCCCAGAAAGGCAAAGCCATGGGTACCTTTACTCTTTAGATAACATGCCACAGAAACACAGACATAGGTGACCAAATGACACGTGTGCACCCACGAATGCCCACGATGGAACACCACACAGCAATGAAGACGAGGAGCTACAACCACTCACAACGTCACAGACAAATCGCACCAGGGTGCTAAGGGGTGCACAGGCCAGAAAAGGAGGGAAAGGAATCCAGGTTTATGGGCTATTCACGTGAAGATGCAAACCAGCTGAGCTCTGGGGCTGGACGCCAGGGCGGTGGGAGGACCGCGAGGGGCATCCAGGGCCTGTCATGTCTGTTTCTTGGTCAGGGTGCTGGCCAAGAAATGGTGCATTCACTTTGTGAAGTTTCAAACCGCACACGTCAGCCAGGCGCAGCAGTTCATGCCTGTAATCCCAGCACTTTGGGCGGGAGGATCGCCTCAGCCCAGGACTTCAAGACTAGCCTGGGCAATATGGTGAGACCCCATCTCTAAGGAAAACTTAAAAATCAGCTGGGCATGGTAGCAACCACCTGTAGTCCCAGCTACTCGGGAGGCTGAGGTAAGAGGATCATTTGAGTGATGGAAGTCAGGCTGCTGTGAGCTGTGATGGCACCACTGCACTCCAGCCTGGGTGACAGTGATACCCTGTCTCAAAAAAAAACAAAGCAAAAAACCCCCAAAACTGCATGAGTCATCTGGGAACTTATTTGTATCTATGTATATTTTATTTAGAAGCAAAAACTAAGCCCAGGCAAGACGGCACAACACCATCTCTACAAAAAAATTTTAAAATAAGATAAAATAAATTAGCCAGGTGTGGTGGTGTGTACCTGTGCTCCCAGCTACATGGGAGGCTGAGGTCAGAGAATCATTTGTGCCCAGGAGGTCAAGGCTGCTGTGAGCTGTGATTGCACTACTGCACTTCAGCCTGGGCAACAGAGTGAAACCCTATCTCAAAAATATAAATAAAGAAAAGAAAAAACTTTATTTAAATAAGTATTTTAAAATTCCCTTGTGCTTTTGAAATGCTTTTGGCAGATATGGTAAGACAGGGCACACCTCATCCCAAGCCCTTGGAGGGGATAGCATGTGATTTCTCTCCCTTCTCCTGGTACCTACACCCCTACTTACACCTTCCCTACTTTCAGCCTTGTGCTTCCAGTGGGGCCAGCTCACCCAGGAGCCAGCTGATCACGTGACACATGCCTGGCCAATCAGCATAGTCCACCTCAGCTACCGTGATTGGTTTACAGCTGGGCATGGGTGCCAGGCAGACCAATTAGAGCAAACCCTGGAACTTCTGCTGGAGTGAAGGAAACATAGGTGGCCCCTTTCTGCAGGACTCGGAGCTGGGCAGAGGTGAGCCTGGAGCCTCCGCAGGCAGCCAGGAGGGAGAGCCTGCTTGGCAGCAAAGCCAGTCCGGCAGAAAACTGAGCTGGGACTTGGCAGAGGCAGCTTCCAGGCAACATCTAAGTTCTGGATTTGTGCCTAATACAGGGATCTGCCCTGGAATTTTTCATTACGCAAACCAAGAAGTGCCCTTTTGGCCTAAATCAAGTGGAGTCCAGCATCTGCCACTGCGACAGTTGCTGTAGCACACCTGTTGGGTGTGTAACATCCTCAACCTTACTAGCAGAAATCCCCACTGATACCAGCAAAGAATGAAGCAAGCAGAGGCCATTGCCCAGTCGGGCCAGACAGGACCAGGAGACAGCAGCGGGCGACCCAGGCCCCAGCTCCAAACCGTTTGCTCACAGGTTGCTCCATTCTGCCTGAAATGGGGGAAAGCATGCAATCTGTTTACAGTCCCTCCTCCTGACCCCCGCTGCAGACCAGTCCTTTCGAGTCGCTGTCTCCAGCTGGAGGACGGGGCTTCAACCAAAAAGGCTCCCAGAAGGCAAGACACAGTCAAATAGAGGGCCGCTTCCGGTCCTACCAACCCTGTGACCTTGGTCGCATCCAGCCTCAGGCCTCGATTTCCTAAGTACAGAACACATTCACCATCCCTATATTCAAATACTGTATGAGTATCCATTACATGCGGGGCACAGTTCTAGAAGCTAAGAATAAAACCAAGAAGAGCAGCTTGGGGCCCTGACTACAGGGATGACAATGAATGGAAAGGGCAATGAGTAAGAAGATAAAATCCACAGTCCATGATTTCAGGGAGCAATGAGCACCAAGAAGACAAGAGGAAGCCATAGGGAGCAGCGGGCAGGAGAGGGGGCAACTTTAGAACAGGAAATCAGAGGAGGCCTCCTGGAGGAGGTGGCATTTGCATGCAGAACAAAAGAAGGTGAGGGAGGATCCACTCAGAAGTCCAGATAAAGAGCTCTCCAAGCAGGGGAAGCAGCCCACGCAAAGGCCCTGAGGCAGCACTGACCTTGATATATTTTAGAAAAAGGGTGAAGCCATCAGGGCTGGAGAATAATGAACAGGGGACGTGTTGGGAGAAATGAAGTCAGAGACGCCGGTAGGGGCTGGATCCTGCAGGGCCCAGGGCCATGGTAGGAGTTTGGACTTCACTCTGAATACAGACAGAGCTGCCAGACATTTTGAGAGTACAGTGGCAATCTCCATATTTTTTGAGATGGGTCTTGCTCTGTTGCCCAGGCTGGAGTGCAGTGGGGTGATCACAGCTCACTGCAGCCTCGACCTCTGGGCTTAGGCCATCCTTCCACCCCAGCCTTCCACGTAGCTAGGACTACAGGCGTGCACCACTATGCTTAATTTTTTTTTTTTTTCTAGAAAGAGGTCTTGCTGTATTGCCCAGGCTGTCTTGAACTCTTGGCCTGAAGTGATCCTCCCACCTTGGCCTCTCACAGGGTTGTGATTACGGATGTGCGCCACCATACCCGGCCGGCATTGTTAAAAGATCCCTTGGCTGCTGTCGGGAGTGCTACAGAACTTCCTATGATGATGGAAATGTTCTCTATGTGTGCTATCCAAGACACTAGCTGCTAGACACACATAGCATATGAGCATTTAACTTCCGGCCACTGCAACCAAGGAACTGCCTTTTAATTTGATTTTGTTTAAATCAATTTCAATTTAAACAGCCGCAAGAGGCCAGCAGTGACCGCACTGGATGGTCTAGGGGATGGATGGTACAGCGGCAATGCTGCGTTGAGGGATGGGCTACTGAAAGGACTGGATCACCAGGAAGGACGTGTCCGTGGGCTGGACAATGAGGCGGGGGGTTGGAGTGGGTGGCAAGAGAGAGGAAGGAGTGAGGACTCAACCTGGAGGTAAAGCCATCTGGGCTTGTTGACACACTGGAAGAGCCGGGTGAGAACAGGGAATCAAACTGACACCCGAGGGTCCAAATTGAGCAACTTGAGGCGGGGGTGCCTCAGGGACTGGCACATAATTGAGACACACCAACAATGTCAGGGGACACAACTCTAGCAGCAATCATCACATCTGCCTAGCCGCCCACACCGCGGAACAAGAGGATGTTATGTAACACACAGACCCTCGCCAGCCTCTTTTCATCTCAGAATGGGTGAAGGGTCCTTCCCACCAAGCCTCACTCTCAAGTTCCAAATCATGGTGTGGGAGGGCAGAGGAACAGCCCCCTAGACACGTCCATGCCCTAAGCCCCAGAACCCATGGCTATGCCAGGTCACAGGGCAAAGGGGCACTGGGCCTGCTCAGCAGCTGCCTTGAAGGTTCAGAAATTGGGCCAGACACAGTGGCTCATACCTGTAATCCCACTGCTTTAACAGGCAGAGGCAGGTGGATCACTTGAGGCCAGGTGTTTGAAACCAGCCTGGGCAGCATGGTGAGACAACATCGCTACAAAGAGTTTACAAAAATAAAATGAGCTAGGTATAGTGGCCCACACCTGCGATCCCAGTTACTCAGGAGGCTGAGGCAGGAGGATCGCTTGAGCCCATGAGGCCGAGGCTGCAGTGAGCTATAATCGCACCACTGTACTCCAGCTCTAGGCTACAGAGTGATACCTTGTCTCAAAAAATAAAAATAGGCCAGGCGCAGTGGCTCACACCTGCAATCCCAGAACCTTGGGAGGCCGAGGCAGGCGGATCACTTGAGGTCAGGAGTTCAAGACCAGCCTGGACAACATGGTGAATCCCCATCTCTACCAAAAATACAAAAAATTAGCCAGGTATGGTGGCGCACACCTGTGGTCCCAGGTACTCGGGAGGCTGAGGTGGGAGGATCACTTTAGCCTGGGAGGAGGAGGTTGCAGTGAGCTGAAATGGCACCACTGCATCCAACCTGGGTGACAGAGTGAGAGTCTGTCTCAAAAAAAATAAATAAATAAACAAGATGGGGAGATTGTCCTGGGGTATCCAGGAGAGCACGATGTGGTCTTAAGGGTTCTTAGAACTGGAAGAGGGGCAGAAGAGGGAGCAGAGGAAGAGATTTGAGGACACAGTGGATCAGAAGGATGCTGTGTTGCTGGCCTCAAAGGTGGAAGAAGGGCCCAGGAGCCAAGACACACAGAGAGGCCTCTAGAAGCCAGAAAAGGCTGATGCAGATTCTCCGAGAGCCTCCAGAAGGAACACAGCCTCCTTGATCTGAGTGCAGTGAGACCCACGCGGACTTCTGAACTACAGAACTGCAAGATAACCAGTGCGTGTTGTTCTAAGCCATGAAGTTCATGGCAATTTATTGTGGTAGCAACTAATAGACCTGGCATTTCTTCCTTTTCAAATCATCTTCCTGCGGCCTCGTTATCTTCAGCCTAATGGGATTATCAAGAGTACAGAGGCCAGAGATTCAGCAGACAGCACGGGGCAGATAAACCCTCAGCTGGCCCCACCCTCGCGCCCTCCCGCCATCCCAGCACAGGGGACAGCACGTACTGAACCTGCAGGTGCTGACGTTCTGAATTCCAGACTCCAGGCACGGGCAGAAGCCTTCGTTGGGTGGGTAGATGGACCCATTGGCAAACAGGGTTTTGGGAGCCACGAAGCGATAGGTGGGGATGCCTTCAAACACCCCTGGCTCCTTGTACATTAGCTTCATGGACCTGCAGGGGACAGACAGGGTGAGAGGGGACACTCAAACCCGGCAGCCAGAGCCAGGCCCTGCCGAAGGCTGCCAAGATCCAGTCACTTCTCCCCACGGGCGCTACCACCTCCCAGGTCCAAACCGCCCCCATCTCTCACCCAGGTAGCTGCAGCGACCTCCTAACGGGCCTCTCTGCTCTGACTCTGCCTCCCTACCCACATCAATGTATTAGCCACAGCCAGATGGAGTTTTACAAAAGAACAGAGGCCAGGCATTATGGCTCACACCTGTAATCCCAGCACTTTGGGAGTCCAAGGTGGGAGGATCACCTGAGCCCAGGAGTTCGAGACCAGCCTGGGGAACATGGTGAGACCCAGTCTCTAAAAAACAAAAATTGTTTTTGAAAGTTATGAAATAAAAAAAAGAACAGAATATATCATGCCCCTGCTGAAAATCTGTGGCCCTTTCTAGTCTAACCTACCGTTAGGATTCATTGTCCTTATCTAGCCCCCGAAGCTGCTCTACTCAGCCCTGCCTCACCTTCCTGTACCCAGGGCCTCCCTGCAGTTCCTAAGCACACTCACTCCTGCCCCAGGCCCTTTGCATCGCTGCTCCCTCTGCCTAAGACCAGTCTCCTCTCGCATCTTCATCCACCAGACTTCAGCCCTTCAGTCAGATCTCAGTTCAGCTGTCACTTCCTCGGGTGGCAGCACCGTCCCCCACACCCACTCCATCCATCCTCCACCCGTTTATGCTCTTGCACTTTCTCAAAAGCACTTCTGAACTTGAACATGCACTGTGCTACCCACTCTGTCCACGGCAGCCACTCAGCACACGTGGCTGTCCATCCCACCCTTGACATGGGGCGAGTCCAAATTGGGATGCAAGTGTAGAACAAATTCCAGATTTCTAACACTTGCTAGCAAAAAAAAAAAAAAAAAAACTCATCAATAACACTTGAAATTATCCTATTTTTGATGTATGAGGTCAAATAAAATACATTATTAAAAATAATTTCACCAATTTCTTGTTACTTGTATTAATGCAGCCACTAAAAAATTTTAAATTGCATGTGTGCCTTGCATATTTTGATTTATAGGAAAGTGCCAGCTTAGATAATAGTATTATGTCAATGTCAAATTTCCTCATTTCAATAACAGCATTGTGGTTATGTAAGAAAATGTCCTCATTTCTGGAAAACACCCACTAAGTATTTGGATGTAAGGGGGCACACAGCCTCCAACCTACTCTCAGATGGTTCAGGAAAACGACACTCAGCGAGAGGAGGGGATGGGGGGCTTGACACAGCTAGTGAACCTGGGTGAAGAGGACATGGGGGCCACTTGTATTTCTCATGCAACTTTTCTTTAAGTTTAAAATTCAGCTTTTAAAAAGTCAGTTGGGTCCGGTGGCTCACACCTGCAATCCCAGCACTTTGGGAGGCTGAAGCAGGAGGATCCCTTGAGGCCAGGAGTTCAAGACTAGCCTGGGCAACACAGCGAGACCCCCATCTCTAAAAAATTAAATAAATAAATAAGTAATAACTTAAAACAGTAAAAAGTGGCCACACAGAGCAAAAGCACTGTCGCTCTCTGACACTCTAGTGTTTGTGCATTTGCCTGAGTTGCCCTGATGGGACACAACCTCCTAGGGAACAGAGACTTGGCCCACCCTCTCACTGCCAGGCACCTGGCACACAGGGTTTGCTGGGAGGGCAGATAAGTCAAGATCCACATGAGTGAATTCCCAAGTACAGGACTTTTCCAGAGTGACCAGAATGGAACAAGACCATAGCAAGGCCTCCAGAAAAGGGCTGTAGGAGCCACCCACTGTCTACTCTTACCTCACAACAGGGACCACGGGACACAGAGCTGAGCCTGAAGGGGCCAAGCAGAGCCAGCTATGTCTCAGCACCCAGATGGTCACGGGGGCCACCAGCCAGGCGCCAGGGGGAGCCCACCTCTCGCCTCCATTTCATGGCCCCCTGTGACCTTGACATTTCCTGCCCCCTCCTCCCAGCCCAGCACCACCTGGCTCCAAACCACCAGCAGCAGCCTCCCTTTGGGCCGTGCAGAGGCACTGGCAGCTGGAGTTTGGCTCTTGGCGGTGTGGCCAAAGAGAATTCAAGCTGGTACCAAGGGCTACTGAGTGAAATCCACGATGAGTCAAATGCTTTCCAAGTGCACAGCCAGCACCACAGAATTTGCCCATGAGCTGCCCAGGAAACCCAGGAGGCCCCGCGTCCCAGTGATTACCGGCAGGCCTCAGGGCTGTAGAACTCCAGCGAGGACTCAGGAGTCATGAAGGGCGGCCACATTTGCCCAGCAGTTCCATTGATCATGTTGCACTGATCGGAATGCCAGAAGTCAACCTGGGGGGAAGCATCCAGACCAGACCCCTCAGTGGGGCCAAGGCCCCTTAATAAGGCCTCTCAGGTGCCGCACACCTAACCCACCCTGGTGCACACACGGCCACTCAATTCGCAATACTGGCACGGTGGGAAGCTGGCAGGCTGTGTAGACAGACAGACAGAATGCCTCCCGCAGCTTCCCACTCCCACACCTCTGAATGTGTCACTTTGCTGGGGACTCAATTCTTTCATCTGCAACATAGGCCTATCACCCACATCTCCAGCCTCAATCTGGAAAGAAGTGCGGTGAGCAGGTGGGGTGAGAGGTGGGGCGTGGCTGTGCTCAGCCCTCAGAGCGGAAGTCAACAGGCCCCTCCTAAAAAAAACAATCGGCACACAGGCAAACTACTTAAAATCGTAACGGTGGCCACTACCGGGCAACCCCGAAACAGAACCCATCAGGTTAACTGCCTCTGGGGAGCGAGACCCAGACTCGACAAGTCCAACTGCTCACTTTCCAATCTTCCGCAGGATGAGGAGGTTTCAAATCACGTGCACATGTACAGTATATTGGAATATCCAAGCCACAATGAAGGTGAACTCCATCTATCACGAATGGCTACTGCTGGTTGCAGATGGTGATTCTGGCCACTCTGGGCACTGGTTGGGGTACGATTTGTCCCCAGCCCTCAGGGTCTTTGCAGTAACTACCACGGGGAGCAGGTAGTGGGAAATCGCACAATCATTTTCACACATATTGAGAAAAGGTCACGAAGGTGAAAAAAGCAAGTTGCAAAACAATGCACGTAGTATGATTTCTTGATGTTTAAAGAAGAAACAATTCCATATTTCTCTGTGTACATACAGACGTGCACATGGGTAAAAACAGACGGGAAGAATATATCCCAAACTGGTAACTGTGGGTTTCCTCTGGGGCGAGGGGTAGGGATGGGACGTGATACTGAGGGCACTTGTCTCTCTCTCGTATTATTTTGAAATGTGAATCTCCTTTCTTTTTTTTTTTTTTTTTTGGAGACTTAGTTTCACTCTTCTCACCGAGGCTGAAGTGCAATGGCACAATCTCGGCTCACTGCAACCTTCACCTCCCAGCTTCGAGCGATTCTCCTGCCTCAGCTCATGAGTAGCTGAGATTACAGTCATGCACCACCACGCCCGGCTAATTTTTTGTATTTTAGTAGAGACAGGGTTTTGTCATGTTGGTCAGGCTGGTCTCGAACTCCTGACCTCAGGTGATCCGCCCGCCTTGGCCTCCCAAAGTGCTGGGATTACAGGCATGAGCCATGGCGCCCGGCTTTCAAAACATTTTTGTAAGTAAAAAACTGAAAAGAAGAAAGCACTCCATTCCCAGCAGACGCCAGGTGCTCAGTAAGAAGTCACTAACCCCGCCTGCCCCTCTGGCTGGTCAAGATTTAACCAGAGGTAAAATCCCTTCTCCAACTTTGAGAGTGTTCATCCTCCCAGCACCCTCTTCATGACAAAGAAGCAGCCCTGTGGTCCCTGCCATTCCCGAGCAGCCACGGCCTGGCCCACCCTCCCCTCTCCAGGGGCCCTCGCCTCTCACCCCTCACCTTGCTCAGCCCGTTCCACTTGTCCACGAGGTGGATCCTGCTGATGTTCTGGACCCCCGTGAACACCGTGAAGAGCCCAGAGTCGGAGTTGTTGAGCTGCAGACACAGCAGGGAACAGCATCGTTAAGGCTCGGGCCTACCATTGAGCTCACCTGGTCTGAACATTCTGGGCTGAGCCCTCCTCCCCCTCCACCAGAAGGAAAGGGCTCCCGGCATCTGGTTCACTGCCACATGCCCAGTGTCTGGGGACTGACACTGGGCTTGGGAGCTTTCTAGGAGGAACGGTCCCGGGTTCCATGGCTGCAGTGTTCCACCCTCCCTTCCTAACTCCGGGAGAGCCTAGCTTTCCTCCCAGGTGAATGGCAGATCACCCCCACCATACCCTACTCCAGCATAAAATAAAACGGGGCCAGGTCAGCTCCCTGAGCAATGAAAAAGCAGAAGTGGCATGTCACTTGGGGGGACACTTTAAGGACTGTGCACACGCCTTTCACCAGGCTCTCTGCCACCGCTATAGCAGCCAAGGAGGTGTGTGTCAAGACAGTCTCCCTTGGCCTGGGTCCCCAAGTGACTACCACAAGCGAGGGTGCCCCAGTCACCCACACTGGACGTGGAGTGCAAGCAAAGGAGTAAGTCCTGGTTGCTCTAAGTCATGGAGATTCTGGGACTGCCTATCACAGCAGCACAACCTGGCCTGTCCTGACCGTCACGGTTTGTGGAACATTTCTTGATGGGGGCCCAGGCTTTGGTGCTTCGAGAGCATTTCCCAGAAGCTGGTATCTAATCCCAAAGACATGCAAAGCACAAAATGGTCTGAGTGACTAAAGGAAATATCTGGAAGTGCTTTGCAGGGTGAAGCACACTGAGGAGCTCCAAGGTTGCCCAGCCAAGTGGCTGCACCCATCACAGACCTCCAGGGCAGGACCCAGCACAAGTCCCTGGCCCAGCCTCCCATGTGTGTCTGTCACCTGCCCATGTGGAGCCAAGAATAACCAGAGCCATTACATAGGGGAGAATTAAAGGGGCTCATGCGCAAAAAGGGCCAGGTACGGTGCCCCAGGCACAGTAAGAGCTCAAAATGCTGGTCTTTATTTCCATTATTATTGTTATTATTAATAAATCATCACTCAACAGGATCCCTAAATGATCATGATAATGGACAGAGAGCATCAGAAACTGCGAGTTACTACCCAAAGCCCACTCTCTCCTTACTCCTTCATGACAAAACCCAAACCATACTCAGAGTATCAGCACACCCAGCTAAAAGGCTACCTTTCCAGCTTCCCCTGGAGCTAGGTGTGGCCACGTGACTCAGTTCTGGCCAATAGAAAGGAAGTGGACATTGGTTTTCTTCCTCCCTAAGAGGGAGGCAACTGGGACATGCTGTTTTACCCCCGATTCCTCCATCTGCTCCCCAAAGCCCCACCAATTCTTCCTTCCCGCTGTGCTACCTGGAATGTGATGTGATCACTGACACTCTAGCAGCCAAGTTGGATGATGAGGTTATCTTGAGGATGAAAACCACATGCCAAGGATGGCAGAGCAGAGGAGTAGAAGGCTTCCAGATCACTTAAGACCATGAAGCCACCACACCAACACTGAATAGCCTACCACTAGACTGTTCTTGTGAGGTTTTCATTATATGTGGTCAAATGTAGATTATACTAAACTAGGGACTTTGTAATAACTTTCATTTGCAAAGCACTTCAGGATTTACAAGATGCTTTTACAGAATCATGCCACTTAGCCCAAACTTGCTAATTTACCCACACAACAGGAGCCTGTCACCCTTGACAAAAACATACTATCTATCACATGCAGCACCACAGTATCCCCTCCAGCACTCTACCCTGATCAACAGAGACCAGAGAGATGGCTGAGGCTGGAGCAGTCCCAAGAACTCATTGAAACCTGCAGTGAGGGAGCCAAGGTCAGGGTCAGACCCTCCACGGACGAGATGTTGGCTCCAAAGCCCAATCAGTGACCCTACCAGGTTGCCAGGAGTCAAGATTAAGAGTCAGCTTGTGATCTTACTCCCAAGCAGCCATGCCCCCTTCTTCTGGCAAAGCCTCCAATTTGCTAAGCTAAGGCCCAATCACATCATTTGAGCCTGGATCAAGCTGTACCTGAATCCAATCCTAGCATTTTCAGTTCCATGAGCCCCAACATTCCCCATTTCACTTAAGCCGGTTTGAGTCAGGTTCTCGGCCACTTACAACCCACAGCTGCTAGACCCCCAGCCAGCTACAAAGTAAGCTGGTGACCAGTGTCCAGGCTGTGTGAGGGGAAGACAGGACACAGGCCTGAATCTTTGGCTTCTCACCAGGCCACACGTACCTCAGCAAATAATCCGAACTTGTCCTTGAAGGGGAACATGCCTGGAAAGTACTTGTTGATGAGGTTCACAAGGGGGTCCTGGTAGCCCCACATGATCTCCCCCACAGTGCGGTTCATGAAGGCACGTTCGCCGAGGGTGGTGAATGCCAAGGTCATGATGAGCTTCAGGGTCATGGGCTTATTCTCCATCATCACCGCCGCACCCTGCAAGGCGAAGGGACACTAGTGTCAGAGGCTGGAGGTGGCTGGCCCATCCTCCCTCGGCCCCAGCTGGGCCTCACGGCAAAGAGCCCATGAAGCAAAATGCTGGGGTGCAGGAGGCCCCTGGAGTGGCCACGTGGGGCGTCCGAGACACCAGAACCACCCTCTGCTCCTCCAGTGCCAAGGCCACATGTGCTCCCAAGGACCCCTTCTCCCCCTTGCACCCCACTGGACTCAGGCTGAGTGAACTCCAGCCCCAGTCCCAGAGGTGGGCCTGTGGCTGAGCCCCCAACAAGACAGCCCCTTTTGGAGATCTCAGAAATGTAAATTGAAAAGGAAAAAAAAAAATACTTTGGCCAGGACTTCCAAACCAAGACAGGTGGACCCACCTGGGAAACTGAGAACCCACAGAGGGTGGTGGAGACAGCACAGGGCTGAGAGCCACCCACCAGGAGTGAGTCCTCACGCTCCGACCACCTCAGGGACTGCTCTCTGCACAAGGAGCAGGCGGGAGGAGAGACAGGGGACGAGGCCAGGGTGCGAGGTGGCGGGGGCCACAGGGCAGCCTCACCAAGACCAGGATGTTGGGCATGACGATGTAGTCACTCTCCGAGCCGTGGGACTTGGAGGGCTCGAACTGGAAGGTGCGGTACTCGAGGAAGGACACGGTGTCATTGTTGTTGAAGGTGATGTTGGTCTTGTGCCTGAACTCCCTGTGGGGGAAGCCGGTGGGTCAGACGCCTCCCCCTGCTATGTGGGATGTTTCCCTCGTACTCGCCTGCAGTGCCTACCTGGGAAGCAGGGGCCCTGGATGTCTGTGCACACCTCCGGCCCCACAGCCAAAGCTGAGCTCGGCCCCTCCGCCAAATCTGTCCCTCCCTGCGCCTGCCCACTGCAGGACATGGTGTTGCCACCCAGCCGGCCTCGTTCTGCTCTCCCTCACCCAACACGGCCATTGCCTCTCCATATACAGAGGGAAGTAATCACAAGCCCTACTTCATGGGGCAGCTGTGGGGATTAAACAATCCCCACAGTAAAGCAATCAGATACCCAGAAAGCAATCAACACAGCCGCGGGGTGCAGAGAAAGCACGAGGTAAACATTGACTGCCGAGACTGTTGCCGCTACTGTCATTATGATCTCTCATCTCTCCAAGCCATTCTCCACCATCCAGAAGAATCTTTGAAAAATGGAAATCAGGTCGGGAGTGGTGGCTCATGCCTAAAATCCCAGCACTTTGGGAGGCCAAGGTGGGCGGATCACCTGATGTCAGGAGTTCAAGACCAGCCTGGCCAACATGGTGAAACCCCGTCTCTACTAAAAATACAAAAATGGCGGGGCGCAGTGGCTCAAGCCTGTAATCCCAGCACTTTGGGAGGCTGAGACGGTCAGGAGATCAAGACCATCCTGGCTAACACAGTGAAACCCCGTCTCTACTAAAAAATACAAAAAACTAGCCAGGCGAGGTGGCGGGCGCCTGTAGTCCCAGCTACTCGGGAGGCTGAGGCAGGAGAATGGTGTAAACCCGGGAGGCGGAGCTTGCAGTGAGCTGAGATCCGGCCACTGCACTCCAGCCTGGGCGACAGAGCAAGACTCCGTCTCAAAAAAAAAAAAAGTACAAAAATTAGCTGGGCATGGTGGCAGATGCCTGTAATCCCAGTTACTCGGGAGGCTGAGGCAGGAGAATCGCTTGAACCTGGGGGGCGGAGGTTGCAGTGAGCCGAGACCGCGCCACTGCACTCCAACCTGGGTGAGAGAGAGACTCCGTCTCAAAAAAAAAAAAAGTGGAAATCAGATCGTGCCACGCTCTGGACCACAACCCCACTTTGCATGCAGGTTAAAATCAGGCTCCTAACGCGACCTCTGAGGACCTCAGCAAGGCTCAGGCCTCGTCTCTCCACTGTCTCCCTCCCTCATAACCCCAGCCGCACAGGCTCTGTTTCCAGCCTTCAGACCTCTGGACATGCTCTGGCTGGGGCTCTCTCTCCCCAGGGCCTCTTCCCACCATGCGGGTCCAGTGAGTGTCCCTTTGCAGAGGTGCTCCCGACCCTCCAGTCAGACCGAGTCCCACGGCCGCCCTCCCTCCTGCACTCCGGCTTCACACTGTTTTGTCTGCACAACACTGATGGATGCCTGATTTCCCCTTATTTGTCCACTTCTTTACTCTCTCCCCATCAGAATGTCAGCTTGGTGAGGCAGGGCCTTGGTCTGCCTGCACCCCCAGCACACAGAAGGTGCTCAATCAGTGCTCACAGAATGAAGGAGTATAGAGAGCTTTGGCATTTTTACCCATTCTGTCCGCTGCTGGGTCCCCTGTGCTTAGAATGGCAGCCAACACCTAGTAGGTGCTCAATAAACATTTGTTAAATGAAAGAGCAAATGAGTGAATGAGTGAACGGAATGCAGGAGCTGACTCGTGTTTCCTACTCCCAAACCTCACGCACATTTGCTAGGTTTTCATCTTGGCTTTCCTAGAACCAAACTGTGGGTCTCCAACAGCAGGAACACCCTCTGCCCACCCCATCCCTGGAACACCGTGTGCCGGGAGCAAGTCAGCTCTCCTCTCGGAGCCCCTACTCCTCCGCCTGTGAACTGGGAAGCGGGGGTGTGGGGGAGGGGAGGTGCTGTGAAGACTCCAGGAGGTAAGGGCGTTGTAACAGGCACATCCCCCAGCCGTCTCAGAGCTCCACGTGCATCCTGAGAGTCCCGATGACCCCATGAAGGGGCTCTTGTGTCTCTCCAGCCTGCAGATGGGCAAGCTGAGGTTCAGAGGGGTGAAGTCACTTCCCCAGGCCACAGCCAGGGACAGGGCAAGCAGAAAGCAAAGGCACCACTCTGTGGTCCCTGGGCCAGCATGTTCCACAAACAGCCGACCCCTTCCCGTGCTGACTCACCTGGTCCTCGGGCCCAGACAGGGTGCGGGGGATACGTGTGCTCCTGGTTGTGCGTGTGTGTGTGTGCACGTGTGTGTGTGTGTATGTGTATGTACGTATGTATGTGTGTGTATGTATGTGTGTGTATGTGTGTATGTGTATGTGCATATGTATGTGTGTATATGTATGTGTGTATGTGTATGTACATATGTATGTGTGTATATGTATGTGTATGTGTGTATGTGTGTGTATGTACGTATGTATGTGTGTATATGTATGTGTGTGTATGTATGTATATGTATGTGTATGTATGTGTGTATGTGTATGCATGTATGTACGTGTGTGTATGTGTGTATGTGTATGCATGTATGTATGTGTGTGTATGTGTATGTGTATGTGTATGCATGTGTGTGTATATGTGTGTGTATGTATGTATGTATATGTTTATGTGTGTATGTGTGTGTATATGTTTATGTGTGTATGTATGTGTATGTGTGTATGTTTATGTGTGTATGTATGTGTGTATATGTATGTGTATGTGTGTATGTGTATGTGTATGCATGTATGTGTATATGTATGTGTGTATGTGTATGTGTGTATATGTATGTGTGTATATGTTTATGTGTGTATGTATGTGTGTGTATGTGTATGCGTGTATGTATGTGTGTATATGTGTGTGTATGTATGTGTGTATATGTTTATGTGTGTATGTATGTGTGTATGTGTGCGTGTGTGTGTCTCTGTCTCTCACATATGCACCCTCCAGCCAGACCCGCACCATTGGTCCCTCCCTGCTCCATAAAGAACCTCTCTAGGTAAGGTCTGGTGACTCACACCTGTAATCCCAGCACTTTGAGAGGCTGAGGCAGAGGATCACTTGAGCCCAGGACTTAAAACCAGCCTAGGCAACATAGCAAGATCCCATCTCTACAAAAAAAAAAAAAAAAACCTAAAACAAAAACTTCTCTGGGACTAGCACTTCCCCCGAGTATGCCTTGCCTGCTTCCGGAAAAATCTCTGGGGCTCAGTCAGCACCCTCCCCATCCCGTCCACTCTGAGACCCCTCCCCTGCCCAGCCTCAGCCGGCCCCTCCGCCCTCACCTGGACACAGCCTCACCTGTACACGTAGGGCCCGCGCTCCTGCACCTGCGGCTTCTCGCCCTTCAGGATCTCGCTGGGGTTCATGACGTTAAAGAAGTAGACGGAGAGATAGAAGGGGATTGGGATCTCCTTCCACATGTTAAAGGACAGGCTGCTGGGGTCGATGCGCACGTTCTGCAGGGGAAGGGACAAGCACGCCTGTGAGGAGAGTGACGAGGGCCCCACGCCCCACCACGAGGCTCCAGAACAGCTGCCTGAGCCCGGCCAGGGAAGGGGCTCCTCGGCGGGGGCTCGGGGTAGGAGGTGTGGGAAAGGCCTTCGCACATGAGGCTGTCGCACCTGGAGCTTATGGAATTAAACAGGCAACCTATCCATGCTGTCATAATGCTTCTTAAAATACGTCGTGACAGCAATATGTGACACCAGTCAAGGGACTGTGGTAAACAGGGGCCTATGCACCATCTAAAGGGGGTGCCGGAGCTGAGGGTAGCGGATGGGCTCAGGGCAGGGATAGTCCCCTGCAGGAACATGGGCTCCATGTGGCCAGGTGAATCATTCATTCATTCAACAAGCACGCACTGAGCACTACCACGTGCCAGGCAGGTTCTAAGAGCTGGGGATGGGAGAGCGACCAGGACAGACCAAAAGCCCAGCTCTGTAGCGGGGGAAAGGGAGGCACCAAACAACTCAGGTAAAACGCATGCTACGTGACAGAGCACAGAGGAAACACAGCAGGGACTGGGGAGAGGTCAGGATTTGAGACAGAGTCATCACGTAAGTGAAATGTAGGCCAGGTGCCGTGGCTCATGCTTGTAATCACAGAACTATGGAAGGTCGAGGTAGGAGGATCTCTGGAGTCCAGGAGTTTGAGACCAGCCTGGGCAACATAGCAAGACCCTATCTCTACAAAGAATAATTTTTTTTATTTATTTATTTTTATTTCTTTTTTTTTTTTAGATGGAGTCTCACTCTGTTGCTCAGGCTGGAGTGCAGTGGCATGATCTTGGCTCACTGCAACCTCCACCTCTGGGTTCAAGTGATTCTCCTGCCTCAGCCTCCTGGGTAGCTGGGACTACAAGTCCCCACCACCACGCCTGGCTAATTTTTGTATTTTTATTTGTTTTTATTTTATTTTATTTTTTGAGAGGGAGTCTCACTCTGTTGCCCAGGTTGGAGTGCAGTGGTGCAATCTCGGCTCACTGAAACCTCCACCGCCTGGGTTCAAGCAGTTCTCCTCCCTTGGCCTCCCAAGTAGCTGGGACTACAAGTTCCCACCACCACACTTGGCTATTTTTTTTTTTTTTTAGTAGAGGTGAGGTTTCACCATGTTAGCCAGGATAGTCTCCTGACCTCAAGTGATCCACCTGCCTCGGCCTCTCAAAGTGCTGGGATTAAAGGCATAAGCCACCTTGCCCAGCCTATAAAAAATAATTTTTTAAAAATTAGCTGGGCATGGTGCTGCACACCTGTAGTCCCAGCTACTTGGAAGGCTGAGGTGGGAGGGTCACTTGAGCCAAGGAGGTCGAGGTTGCAGTGAGCTGTGATGGCAGGACTGTACTCCAGCCTGGGTGTCCGAGAAATACCCTGTCTCAAAAAGGAGAAGGAGAAGGAGGGAAGGAAGGAAGGAAGGAAGGAAGGGAGGAAGGAAGGAAGGAAGGAAGGAGGGAGGGAGGGAGGGAGGGAGGGAAGGAAGGAAGGGAAGGAGGGAAGGAGGGAGGGAGGGAGGGAGGGAGGGAGGGAGGGAAGGAGGGAGGGAGGGAGGGAGGGAAGGAAGGAAGGAAGGAAGGAAGGAAGGAAGGAAGGAAGGAAGGAAGGAAGGGAGAACACATGCAAACACAACCTACACCCAACAGAAGGTAGTGAGGAAGGGAGCTCACGAGTCTAGAAGGTGGGGGTTGGGGGGCATTCCACAGCAGCCACAGCCTGTGCAAATGCCCTGTGGTAGGGAGATGCTGGGAGAGAGCCTGCCTGTGCGGCTGAGTGAGCCATTCAGGGAGGAGTCAGAGGAAGATGAGAACACAGAAGTTTTCCATGAAAACCAGAAATACAGAAATATATACGAAATCTCCTGATTTAAAAACTTTGCAAAAACATAATTTTCTTAAAGGGACTATAGGAAACATGCCTGGGGTCCGTTTGGACTCCTCTCCCAGCTTTGCTCCTCTAGATCTATAATTCGCTGCCCCAGTGTCACAGGGAGGTCCCCCCCAGTCCACCTGATCCCCACCCTCAACCCAGCCAGGATCTCGGGCCCCTCAGTGCCCACACCATGTCAGAGCCCAGGAGGAGTGACCCAGCCCATCAGATTAGAGCTGATGTTGCAAAGCCAGGCAGCCAGGCAGCTGCATCACCTTCCACCCTCTTTTGAACATGGCCTTCTAAGATGAGGACAGCCGCCCCCATTGTCCCCAGACAGCCAGAAGCAATACTAAGAGTCTTTATAGGAGGCAGATAGCTGAGCTGGCCAGTCAGAGCCAGCCCCACGTCCCCTGGAAGGAGCAGATTTAGAGGCAGCCAGACCCTGGGTCGCACTCCATGGGGCCACTTGGGCAAGTCAGCCCCTGTGAACCTCAAGTTTCTCATCTGTACGATGGAGCTGGTGACACTGTGTCTAGTTTGACCTACGTGGCGTGTAAATGAAGAAGCTGAATTCATTGTCAAGAAGCTGGAAGATGTAATGTAATACCTGGATTTCACTGGAAGATGTAATACCTGGATTTCGGAGTTCTCTTGGAAAAACCAGGAGATCAGAGACTTGCCTTCAAGTGCCATAACTGTTTATTGATAAACGCGTCTTCCTACCCAGCTGCGAGCACCAGAAGCAGCATCTTATGACCTGAGCAGCCCATAGGTGCAAACGAAGGCGCATAAACTCAATATTAAAGAGGTAACAGAAGCAAGCATTTCCGGGGTGCGCCACATGCCTGGTGATGCTGTTCACTGTGTTCTCATCCTCTTAACAGCACCATGACTCTTTGAGGCAGCCACCTCCACTATTATTACTCCCATGTTACAGATTAGGAAACTGAGGCACAACTAAGGCTGGAGAGAGATACAACCAACAGTTGGAGGGCACTGAGGAGTCCGGGAGGTCTTCCTGGAGGAAGTGGTATGTGAGCTGGGTCAAAGAGCAGTCCTGCCCCCTCAGTAACACCCTCCCCACCCCATGGCAGCTCCCGCCACCCCATGCGACCACAGCTCACAGGCACCAGCTCCAGCCCCTCCCAACTCTCAGGCCCCGATCACCCAGCCCTTCCTTCAGTCCTGGCCTTCACCCAGCCTCCAAGCCCGTGCACTGCAGGTCCCTCTGTCTGGGACAGACCCTGCAGCCCTGGGGACCCTGCTCACCACAGGCCAGGCCCCTTCTCCAGCCTGGGGGACACATCCAGCTGCTGGTGCTCCCTCCATAGAAAACACAGCATCAAAACCCAGAACCCTGGAAAATGTGTTCAGGGAGTAGAGCACAAACTGTATGTTCTCACCACAGAAAACAGTTGGGGGCAGGAGGGAACCGTAGCAGTGACACGTGTGTTCAGCACCTGCATCTCAGGGGCAGGTTTCCCGGTGTGCACACACCAGCCCATCAAACTGCATACATTAAACATGTGCCATTGTTTTATATCAATCACACCTTAATAAAACTGCTTTTTTAAAAAAGCAAAACAAGGCCCAGTGTGGTGGCTCACACCTGTAATCCCAGCACTTCGAGGGGCCAAGGCAGGCAGATCACTTGAGCCCAGGAGTTCAAGACCAGCCTGAGCATGGAGACCCCATCTCTACAAAAAACACAAAAATCAGTCATCCATGATGGCAGGTGCCTATAGTCCCAGCTGCTTGGGAGGCTGAGGTGGGAGGATGACTTGAGCCCAGGAAGCAGAGCTTGCAGTGATCTGTGATCACACCACTGCAGTCCAGCCTGGGCGACAGAGCAAGACTCCATCACACACACAGCCTCAATTTCCCTTTGCGGCCTTCCTCTCCCACCCGGTTTCTCAGCAGAGTCTGCTGGGCTGGAGATGCCTTTCTCCTTTGGAATCTCACCATGCTTTCCTCCTCCCCTGGCCTGCTCGGCCTGGTTCTGAAGATGAATCAGGGCTAAACCAAGAATTCCTGGGATCCCCTCTCTCTCTCTCTCTCTCTCTCTCTCTCTCTCTCTCTCTCTCTCTCTCTCTCTGTCTCCAACAGAAGAGGCTTTCGGGCCCTGGGTTTCAGTCCATTCATTCAACATTACCCAAAGGGAATCTTCAGAGACCCAGCGCAGCCCCGTCCAATTGGGTGACCAGGGGAGGGTCGCTGACCTTCTCCCAGCCTCAGTTTCCTCAACCATACAACGGGCATAAGGAGAGTGTCGCCTCGTGGGCTGCTGTGAGGTTTGAACGAGTCCATGGAGGTAAAGTGCTTAGAACAAGGTCTGAAGACCCCGGGCACCGGAGGGTCAGCCCTGCAGTCACTAAGTGACCCTCCCTTCTCTGCCCCACCTCCACCTGGGTTAAGGCATGGACTCTGCCCTGCTTTTGATCAGCAGGATGACTTTTTTCCACCACACTAGACCAGGCAGCTGATTAGATAACAGTGGTGGGGACACTGTGGCCTTTTGCCTAATATGGCTGATTCTGTGATTCTGTCCCCACCACCCCCAAGGTCAAAGACCATGGCCCTGGAACACAAAGTTGGGACAGAATGCCAAGATGAGCCTTTGTTGGACACCACTCCCTCCCATCTGGCGAAGTAGACCCTTTGAGCCCAGGAAGGCTGCCTGGAGGAGGGGACATCTGAGCTGGGAATTTTAAAATGAGCTGGGCTTTGCTAGGAAAAGAACACGGTGGAGGAGTGCCTGGCAGAAGACACAGCCTGTGCAAAGGCTGGGAAGGCTTTAAGAGCGTGACTTGCCTGAATGTTCACCAAAAACAAACATGGAATGATATGTCCATATTTGATAGACGGAAACTCAAAAATTCATCAACAGATAAATGAATTGCCACACATATCCACACAATGGAATGCTACTTGGCAATCAAAAAGAACCGACCATGGATAAACGCCACAACAATGGGTGAGCTTCAGAAGCACTACCCCAAGTAAAAAAAAGAAAAGAAGAATCATAAGAATCATACTACACAACACCATTTCCGCGACATCAGGGAAAGGGAAAACTCTAGAGAGAGAAGCCAGAC